ATCACCTTAAAGTAAGTGTTCATTTTCTTTCCAATGAATTCCATTCCATTCACCATCAAGTATATCTAAAATACTTGCCCAATGAATAACTTGCTTCCTCATTGGTTTCTCCTTGATCCACAACTTGTTTGATAGGAAATTGTTGTGCTTAACAAAAAAATATGCATCAACAGTTTGTTGTCTGAAGTTAACACCAACAACATTTGCCCTCCATATTTCGCCACTATCACCYTGGACAGAAATAAAGTCCCCACTTTCTGGGTATAATKGGACAACTACCTGAGGTAAAGGCACAACTTTCCTTGAAGGGTCAATAACTGCAAATCCATAGGTATTATATGGATAGAGCATTATTTGCCTTAAAATTTGTCTGMCTGGCAAACAAATGCTTCTGGCTGTTTCTCGAACAATTATGGTATCACTTATAGGATGCCTAGACATAGTGCCATCATCATTAAGAAGTGGTTCAAAGAGGTTTAGAAGAGCAAGAGATGTCCAGTTCTCTTCATTATTTAAAAGAAAAAAGTTTGTTACTTTTGCTATTAGTTCAGTGCCATTGTATAATGCAAAAACAATGTCTCCTTTCCTGTACAATTTCYCATTGGGAATGCAGTGCAATGGCAGAAAAACACTTCTAAATGAGTCAACAGCTTCAACATTATGTTGCATTAGGTCTGTTACAGCTTTTTTCTCTTCATCTGACAAGACATGAAAATGGGGAGCTCCTGTAAGCACTCCATCAGATATATGGGAATTATCTTGGTTTTCCCTGCATAGTATTCTTGCATTTTCCAACGAGAAGGCAGTTGCCTAGTAGACAAAATATATATTTTAAAATACCTTTGTTGGTTGTATTTTTCATATTCATAAGTACTTTGTTGACTCAACCATGAATAATTTTAAAAAATTTATTAAAAATAAATAAATAAATAACCATATACAAAAATAAATAAATAAATAAATAAGTTTGTTAAAATTATTCATGGTTGATTCAACAAAGTACTTATGAAAACATATATTGGTATTCAACAACTCCTGGTTTATTACCAATTATGAATTGCTCACATTGTCTCTTCAACCATGTAATATTACACTGAGGCCCATTGATGAGGTTTAATCAGGGTCCATGCAGAGCATCAAAAACGAAATTTAAGGAATTTTCAAGGACTTTKCAAGGACCAAAATTGTACTTTCAAGGAACATCATAATCATGCTAATTGTACATTCTTACCTCACAACTTTAGCCGAATGGAATAATTCCGAGATCGCTAGCGCTTTGTGATATAGATTGATCTTTTTCAAGGAGTTTTCAAGGGTTTTTCGAGATTTTCAAAATTTTAAGGAATTTCAAGTGCCCTTGAAAACAAGTTTTCAATTCAAGCACTTGTCAAGGATTTAAGGACCTGCACGGACCCTGTTTARTATATCTTATTGTCATTGCTAAAATTTCAATGAACATTACATCTCGTACTTGGCACTTCGCTACACTGCAAAAACGGTCGAGTTATAGGAACTCAAAATGTTGAGTTTTCCGTTGCATCCATATTGACGTATTATTTTGAGTTAACATCAACATATATAGTGAGTACAGTCTACTCAGATTGATGAGTAGGCGAAACTCAAACTTGAGTAAATTTACTCAATAAATGAGTATGAATTACTCAAAATTTGAGTAGGCACTACTCAATTTGAGAGTTAAGACAACTCAAACAAAATGCATCCAAAATGACTCTTTATTGTGAGTACAGCTTCCAGTTACTCAATATGTTGAGTAACCCTTACTCTATTAGAGTTAAATATAAAATGCTTCCGAACATTATTAAAATTACATTAATATTACATCATTTAGAATAAACTTGATGTACAGTGTAATATAAGGAACAATGTGGGCATGCATGGCTGGCTACAAACATTTCTATGCGTTAATTAATATTTTTGAAAATTGAAATTCGGCATTAATTTATTTATTATCATTGATGTGACAAAATCGATATTGAATATTTTTTTTTCGTTAAACCGATTATTTAAAATTCACGCTAGCGTGATATTCGTCTATGCTGTGATTTAATCAAGGGCGCCAGGACAACCATAACGTTTTTGAATGATATTACGATTGTATTTGTTATAGCTTTGAATATCTTAGAAATTCACTTATCTGACTTCTTGTGTACATCTTGAGTGCATCCCGTATTCCCTTGACTGTTGGTCGGCACGGTTGGTCGGCACTCAAGATGTAATCAAGAAGTCATAAGTGAATTTCTAAGATATTCAAAGCCATAACAAATACAATCGTAATATCATTCAAAAACTGTTATGGTTGTCCTGGCGCCCTTGATTAAATGAAATTGACGGAAGTAAATTTCGAAACAAATACATCATTGAAAATAATCAATAAAATGAATATATACAATAATTGCTAATTAACACACATGAAAGTTCATGTGGCTTTAAAAGTATGGAGATCATTTACAAGACCTATTACTGACGCTGGTAATTTTTTTCCATCCTGAATATGCAGAATACATTTTTGTAAATATATGTAGAAATTTGTTAGCCCTGGTGGATAGTTGAACATGAAAACATAGTGGCAGGCAACTAAGCAAAGAGTAGCCTCCTGTAGTGTTATCATATATTGTAATCGTATAGTTTGGATTACCTGTGTATGTTTATAGATAGTTCGGGTTACCTGTGTCTYKTAACATATCTAACATGGCGGTTTAGTAAATCACACGAGACAACAATCCGTCTAAATCTTTCTCTAAATCATCCATCGTAACACTACACCTCCAATAGGTTGCATGTATGACTAAATAAAATTTCCTGGCCTGCAAGTAAATTTTTTCTGGTGCATCTATCGTTCCTTGYACGATGATGCTTAAATAGGGGCTTGTCCTCTTAGACAACTTGACTTTTACATCATCACCTTCCTAAAAAGATAAAAACAGTGAATAGAAAGATGAGAAATACCTTTTATTAAAGACAGTTCAAGTATCCGATAGTTTACTTACAGAACAAAATTCTACATAATCAGTYCTGCTCACTGATTTACTTGATTTTGAATGCAKCAGGAATGGAAGAACTGCCACAGCCACTTCGGAAATTTCATCTGAAATAACATTAATAATWCAAAAGAGATCAGCCTAGATGTTAGTCTGCTCACCTCAGGTATGCAGCCTATAAGTCAGCTACATGTATCACTATAGAGCTGGTAGTCCAATCAACATTTATGACTGAAAAAAAACAATTATTAAAAATTATTAAAGTAATCATATTATAATTGGCTTTCACCCTTACCAATTGTGTTTGTATCCTCCTCCTACTCATCATCATAAGCATAGGGGTCTTTTTCAAGAAGTTTAATCAAATCTTCTATAGCTTCACACCTTTTTTTGGATTTGCACAGCCCRATGATAGCTTCAGAAAYTTGATGGAAATTCTTWATAAATGAACAGACAACACTAGTCTACAGGCCAAGAATCATCTCCATCTCATTCAGTATCTAAAAATGTAGATTAAAACAATTACTGGAAATGAAAGATATGTCTTTGCAATGCTCTTGTTCCTGAATCTTAACAGTTTGACTGATCACAAAGTGTGAATTTACGATTTGATTACCATTAATAATAGTCTTACCTGTTTGTAATTAAATAGAGTAGGGTACTCCCCCGGATCTCAGTCATATCATGATTTGCATTCATGAACCTCCTTCTGGASGGGAATGTCRGTTTCATCCTGTTATCAATTTTACCCTGGTCTGGGGATCGTCTTGATGCTTCATTTTGGAGAAAGAGCTTGTGYCTCTCCAAAGACACCTCRTCCTCTCCTTCTGGGTAAGGTGGCTCCCAGTTGATGGCACCCCTTCTCAGTTTTGAACTGACCGGGTGAGGGGTGCTGCCGTTACTTTTTCGCTTTCTGATCACCACCWMRGRWYCYYCYTKKWARSCTTTCYTTYMWTYCYKRAWTTTT